GATTGGGGGGCGGGGGAGGGGGCGCGCAGGAGGACGGAGGTGGCAGATGACAGGTGCCTGCCTCGCAAGCGTCTCCAGGGCCCGGGAAGGGCCTCTGTGCGGCTCAGCGGGCGTGGGGCAGCCCCAGGACAGAGGCCTGCCGAGAAGAGTGTCTTCTGCCCCCTGATCCAAGCGCGCTCACACACACACACACACACACACACACACACACACACACACACACACGTTTTCCAGGGGGGGATCAGGGCTGTCCCAGCTGGGGAGATGCCAGGGAGAGGGATGTACCTTGCGTTGGGACCGGTCCTTGGCTGGAGAGGCAGTCGGAGGGAGGCCGGGAGAGACTGCCTCAGCCACCGCATCTGGGGTCCAGAAGTCAGCCGGAGAAACTCAGCTGGGATCCGTGCCAGGAGTCAGTGTCCGTTTCTCCCGAGCAGCAGCCGCACGCATGGTCCCAGGTTGGAGCCCTCAGCTGCAGGGAGACTTCTCAGCTGGCGGCGGGCTGAGCCCGGGCGGGGCGGGAGACAGGCGACATCAAGGGGGCTTGGTGCAAACGCCGGAGCCGAGCCTGAGAGGGGAGCCCCGTGTGCTCCGAGGCAGGAGTGGTGGCTGATGTGGCGAACCCACTCGAAGCGCTCCCTCTCCGTTATGCATCACCCGGGAGAAGACAGCCGCTCCACGCTTGGCATGAATTATTCAACAGCTTCTAACTTGTAAAAGGAAGAAAAATATCTCACTCAGAAAGTCCTGCAGCTAACAAGTTGCCGTCTTCTCTCTCTCTCTCTCTCTCTCTCTCTCTCTCTCTCTCTCCCCCCCTCCCTCCTTGTTTTACATCCTGCATCTTTTTTTTCTTTTTTCCTCCCTTCATTATTAGAATAAATTTACTGTGGCCCCAGCATATTTCATCTCATTCGGATACATTCTGGAGGCGAGATTTTTCTGAAAGACAAATACACTACCTGAGACCGATCTCTTTGTTTCCACATTTTTAGGGAGAATTACTTTTTATTCCACTTGGAATTCTTCCCTCCCCTTTTGGCAAAATGGGACATGGATAATTATCCATAGGAACCCCCCCCCCAGTCCTCAATTTAAGTTATAAATTCCTTTCCAGATTTGGCTTGTGCACCCCAATGAAAGGGTTAGAGGCACAAACTGGACTGTCCTGAAGGTTTAACGGGTGCCAGCGGTGCATCTCAGCAAGGGAATGCCACTCACTGCTGATAAGAAATGAGCTATCACACCATGAAAAGGCAGGTGGGGGGAGCGTACATGCCACACCCTAAGTGAAAGAAGTCACTCTGAAAAGGCTAAACCCTGCATAATCTCCAACTCTGTGGCATTCTGGAAAAGGCAAGACTATGGAGACAATAACAAAATCAGGGGCTGCCAGGGCTGGGAAAGGAGCAGCAAACAGGCGGAGGCTGAGGGCTTGGGGATAGGGAAAACATTAAATGTGATACTTAATGGTGGACATATGTCATTAGAAATGTATCCAAACTCATAGAATGCACGCACCAGGGGCAGGTCACTACATGAACTGTGGACTCTGGGGGTGATGGTGTGAAATGTGGGCTCTGGGTGGTGATGGTGTGAAATGTGGGCTCTGGGTGGTGATGGCGTGAGCTGTGGGCTCTGGGTGGTGGTGGCGTGAGCTGTGGGCTCCGGGTGATGATGGTGTGAACTGTGGGCTCTGGGTGGTGATGGTGGGTGGAGGAGGCTCAACAGTCATAATGAGCCACTGGGGGGGGAATGGTGGCAATGGGGGAGGTTATGCATGGGAGGCCACGGGAAGTCTGTGTACCTTTCACTCAACTTTGCTGTGAATCTAAAATTGCTCTAAAACATAAAGTCTATTTTTTTAAATGTTGGGGAAGGCCAGAAGTCAGCATAATCCCCCGTGTGAACAGCAAAGGTAGCTTTTCACTGCAGAACTTCCAGGTCTGTCTTAGAGATTTGCAGTCTGATGTTGGAATCCTCTGTGGTGCGAACACTCACTTATCCATGGCTCATGAGAAGTTTTTCACAAAAGATGTCCCCTCCATCATTTTTCACTGGAATATCATGTATTTGAAAATTTAACTTGATATGGCAGTGTGGTATCATGACATAATGGACAAAATGCCAGGTGAGGCTGGGGCCACGTGGGTCCTAAGCTTGGCACCTACCAGCTAGCCTGTGGTGGATTCTTTTCATCTTGTCAAATAAGAAGTCTCTGGCCAATGACTTCAAGGCCCTTGCTTTCAAAACCTTCTGTGAATCTCTGTTCCTGAGTGTCACATTTCTCCTGCCTAGTTCTGACACTTGACACTCACCGCCTCTGTCAAGCACACCGTGTAGTCCTGGGTCATATGGCAGGAGTCTTTTCTAGTCTGGCCCCAAGAGTAATGTTTTAGGAGGAAAGTGAAGGCACACCTCTTCTAATACTACTCAGTCATAAAAAAGAAGGAAATCACGTCTTTTGCAGCAACATGGATGGAGCTGGAGACCATGACTCTAAGTAGAGTAACTGAGAAACAGGAAGTCAAATATTGCATATTCTCGCTTATAGGTGAGAGCTAAACACTGGGGACACGTGGACACCACATGGAATAATGGACAGATTACCCTCGCCCAACATTGGGTACAGCATTCACTATTTGGGTAATGTGCACATTAAAAGCCCAAACTTCACCACTGCGTGACATATGCATGTAAGAAACCTGCACTTGCACCCCCTACATACAAAAATGAAAACACACACGCTTGTGCACACACACAAACACACACACACACACATACTTTTCTTTCTCTTTCAAAACCAATACAGTTATCTATAATACAGTTAAGAATGCAGACGAGGTTTCAGGCTAAGCTTGGCCTGATGGGCTTAGTTCCATAAGGCTGTAACTGAATGAAATTAGCCAGGAGGTAAAATAAAGAACCAGTAAAGTCGCTGGTTTACTGTTCAAAGGTCTGGATATCAAGTGCACTGATGTTAAGAAGCATTTACTGTTTGTTGTCTTTTTTGCCTGGTGTCATTTGTTTTATTGAGACTTTGAGCACAGCAATCCTGCAGGAGATTCTTCTAATCATTTTTAGTTAAAACTTGCTATTGAAATGAAGTTTTTTTCTCTCTCATGAACTTGGTCCTAAAAGACTTTCTGATAGAATCTGGCAGAAGGGTATTCAGATTCTGGCTCCTTGGTCCCAGCTGCCACTTTGAGTGTTCTCTTTGAGAACGAGGAAAGTCCCTACTAGTTGCAGGTGCTTCTGCCAAGACCATGCCACCTTTAGTCCTGGCCCGAGAGGGGCCACATTTTTGTTTGTTTTGGGGGTTGGGTTTGTTTTAAGTTACTGAACTTCATAATATAGGGTGGGGCTTTTTTTCTGGCTTAGTCCCAGCACCAGGATAGTACCTGGCACATGATAGATACTTAGTAAATTCTGGTTGAATGAGTGAATAGATGGAAGTATGAGTTTATTGCCCCCGTCCCCAGGTGAAACAGGAAGTGGTTTTCATGGGCATTTCTTACCCCTGCCTCCAGCAGGGACTGGCCCCTCAGTCACCCCTTTCTGATATAGCTTTGTTCTCCACTCTCCATTGGTTGCTCCCCTTGGTCTGACAAAAATACTGATTTCGCCACAGCTTAATAAAGCCTCCCCAGAACCTCCCCTCCCTCTCGAGGTGCTGCTCCTGCTTCCTATTCTCCCATCGGGTTCCCACCCACCCCACCCTCAGCGTTCCCTACTCCAAGGAAAATCTCCCCCAAGGTCCACCACAGACTCTGGTGACATCCAATGACTCCCAAATCCTCCTTCCTTTGATTGTGTCAGGAACACACTCCTCCTCAGTGCTGTCTCTCTCTGGGTTTCTCTTTATCTGCTCTGTCTGCTCCCTCCCAGACTCACCCTGTGGCTCCCCAGGATCCTGGGTTCCTAAATAAGGTGCTGCTGGGTGTTCTGTTCCTGATTCTCTTCCCACCCTCCTCTCTCTCTCTCCCTTCTCTCATCCAACTCTGTGCCTTCCCTTCAGAGTCAGCCATCCTTGCTTCTTTCCAGAGCTGCAGACTCTGGAACCTTCCATTCGGCTGGCCTCCCTCCCTCCTCTTCTTGTTCTTTCTCCCGTGGCCACTGGTTTGGTTAACAGTCCTCATTAAGATACCTTAATGTTTCCAATAATCCACCCTCAGATATGGTGTTTGTTGTAGTTTGCTGATACATCGTCTATAAGTTAGAGACATTGCTAATTCTAGTAAGAGTTTTTATATTACATGAGTGATTTTTTCATTATTAATGTGGTGAATTACTTTTGATATTTTTTAAAAGTTGAGTCATCTTTGTATTCCTATGATAAACCCTATTTGGTCACAATAAAGTATCTTTTTGAGTAGACTGCAGAATTCTATTTGCTAATATTTTATTTAAGACCTTTGCATCATGAGAAAAACCCCCTTAGTTTAATTTTCTTGTGCCATCTTGTTCTTGGTATCAGGGTTATGATATTATATTCAGTGATCTATCACAGAAACAAAGAACCAGGTACCACATGTTCTCACTCATAAGTGGATCCTGAACATTTACCACAATACCACGAGAGAGAGATCAGAAGTAGCAGGGCACTGCCAGGGGAAGGGCAGGGCATGTAGCATCACTAAGGGTACCTGACTCTAAACCAGGGGAAGTGAGAACCATAAACTACTTATGCACCTAATCCTGGCTTGTACTCCACATCTTTACAATAAAATAAAAATAAATGTTCTAGACCCACTGGATCAGACGGAGGTGATGCCATATGCACTGAGGCTATCCTGGTCTGCAGGACTGAAGTTGCTTTTACCACTGCTATGACCCCATTCCAGCCCACAGACAGGGAAAGAAGATGGAAGTGCAGCCAGCTGCCTTTTTATGAATGTGACCTGGATGTTTCAAACACCACTTCCGCACATATCTCAACGGCCAACATGAGTCACGCGCTGCCCCTTGCCGAGAAAG